GGGGGGTTCGGGGGGTTAGAAAGAACCGCCCCTTTTGCTAGAAAAAGGTCCTTTCTGGATAAAATTTGATCTAGGTACATGAAGTTTTCATGGGAAAAGGTCCACATTTTTCCGAATAAGAACCCCCCTTTTGAAATTGCTGGTTACGGGCCTGTTTATCGTTACCTTGGATTTATCGACTTTGGGATATCCGCGTTTGCTTTACAGATGGATGGTGCAAAGTTAATTGATATATGACTCTTGCAAAAAATTAAATGGCGACTCATTGAAAACAAACTTAATCCAACGGCTTACATGCTTTCATATTTAAATTAATCGGGGTCATTTAATTAAGTTAAAATAAAGAGTTAAATTACAAAGATTGTTATGCAGAACATACACAGTCGACTTCTTTGCCATACAATATCAGACGCAATACAATTGTCCCTTTTGAAATACTTTTCATATTTTCTTCAATCTCAGATTCGTCCCTCTCCACCCAAACTACGACACAAACAACTTCCTCGTGCCCCAGTGGCTATGAATCGTTCAGAGACGCCTGCTACCAGATAACTACGGTTTCCACGTGGGAAGAAGCAAAACAGTATTGTGAGAGACAGCAAGACACGCTGGTGTCGATACTTGATAGTTTTGAACAGGCTTTTGTTACACTCAAAGCCCACAGGGAAACACCTTGGCCGCTATGGCTTGGGCTCTACAGAAAACAGGTAAGATGAATTTTTTTAAAAAAATGCTAACACATTTTTGATTGGGCGTTTTACTTCAGTTCTCATCCTTATATTTTCTCAATACCATTCGGTCGCCATCGACGGTCCAGAGAAATATTCAAATACTCGTATGTTTTTACTTAACCATCTCTCTGTTAAAAGCAATTAATATGTGGGCTAAGTACACAAAGTGAAATGTCTTCAGAGTAATATGGTATCTATATTAATAATACTTGCTTAAATTTTAATTTAAAATAGATCTATTGGTACTGAAATGCATTTAAGCAATTATAATACAATGGTATATGAAGAAACATATAATACTTCCCTGTATTATCTTTTAAACTGAAAAACAAATACTAATGTTGCCACCTCTACTATATTTTTCATTATTTCAAATACCTAGCTTACATATAAATGGGTAGACGGTTGGCCCGTGGATTTTGCCCTATGGGCGCGTGGGGAACCCTTACGAGCAGGCACGGAGGGGTGTGTCGCCCTCTTGCCGAACGGCCGCTGGTATGATTTTACATGCAATACTACATTCAGAGGAATGTGCAAGAAAACATCAGGTAGGATGTCATCTTTGAAGCATTTGTTTTATTGAAGACAAAATTCAAAGAACTTTTTATGAAAGGCAAAGGAATTTCTCTACAAGTTCTTCCTGGTTATGATGATGTTTATTGCTCGGTTATTAGGATTCATAAATATAAAATTTAATTAATCTTAAAAGTTGTTCCAAGGCAGACAGTGGAAAATTGCCCTAAAAGACATATTCCGACAAAAGACAGTCAGTCTGAAAGTGTTGAAAAATATCATTTGGAAAATGGCATTGAAGTTCCTAAGCTATTTTCAGCCGTACCGCCTACCACGCTAGCCGATCCCCCAGGAAAGTGCCCGGATGAGACATCATGGTTCCCGTTTGGCTCCAACTGCTACCTCTTAAAGGAGGCTTATGTCAGTTGGCCAGACGCAAACTTTGAATGCTACAAGAGAGGTATCTTAACATTTTATTTTAAATGCATGTATATTGAAATCATAATATATTTTATATCTTACTCACTTTGTGACTTTTCTGTTAGATGATTAAAGTATAGTCGATTTTTTCACATTTAAAGTAGTAAGTTGCCAATATATATATGTACGGTATTAGAGAGCTCAAATATGCGGAGCATTTATACACAATTTCAAACATAAATAAATAAATGACACCGAGTCATGTCTAAACGTCAACTCTGGCTTTCACGGACATACCCATACGGTATGTTCGATCGTCAGGAGGTGTTTAATCAAATAGTCGTTTATATATATATATAAGAATTTATCATTAATTCATTAGGGGCTACTCTGGCAGCTATCACCAGCCAAGAGGAGAACGACTTTCTTGTGAAAACACTACGGCAAGAGCGCATACAAGAAAGAAACTTGTGGATTGGTTTGGTGCGGAAATTAGGAGGTAAACTGAGCTAGGTCCGGAAAAAAGTTCAGAGCAGTTGGAGGGAATGTTATAACGTTTAATGTCGTTCCTCACATTTAAGACGCGTTTCGACCGGAATTAGGGCTGTTTCAACAAAAGCCTACCAGAACAACTGGGAAGTGCATCGCACCTTGGAGGGGAAGAAATGTTTTAAAAAATCCCTAGTTAACGAGTGCCGTTAGTGGACCGACTTTCGACGTAAAATGATTCTTGTCTTAACAGGCCATTTCCTTGGAATTCCAGATTCATTTGGCTGGTATGATAACACCGTTGTGAACTACATGAACTGGGACTCCGGTGAACCGGCCATGGAGAATTACAAGGAGTGCACTTCGTTTCACCCTGGGAACGGGGGTTGGTCTACCTCAAGGTGTTCTTATATAAAAGGGTATATATGTAAAGTGGCCAAAGGTGGGTACATTTGTTTTTTCTTTTTTTCTTTCTTTTTTCTTAACATTTTATTTATGTCGGTGTGCTAGAATACTTCAACATTCCTAACAGACAGCATACGGTAGTTTTTGTTGCGCAAATCGGACCCAATAGACGGTACTTTTTATCAGATATCTTTGACACGAATAATTTATTTATCAAAAATCCGATTGTTGAAATGAGCTTCGTAACTTAACATTTGTTTAATGTACAAAAATAATAAATAAAAATGTCGATGTTCTATGCAAACCTCAGGCAAAAGAGAGTGTGATTAGCGACGCCGTTGCAACTCGTCTTGCACACAACTCCTTGATATAGGTAACAAAAAGCGTGAAATATTCCGTCTACATGTATTTGAGCGCATATTTCAATACTTGTCATCAGAAATCTAGAAAGTCCGAACAACAATGAACTGACAGTGATGGTGCAAAATATATCGCTTTAGAAAAATACAGGACCGTTTTCCCTTCTCCAGTAAACAATGATATAATGATATATATTACAATAATTTTAGTGCCTTACACCACAACGTCCGCACTTCCGACATTGTGGCCTCGACTAATGTCATCAACAACAGCAAGTTCTACAACATCTACGGCAGCACGTTCTACACGGTCCAAGGGCAGAGGAACCCCACGCCCTATACCAATTAGAGGGTCATATGCTAGCGATCAAACTTCAGGTATAGTTCCACCTTGATTATTTAATGCGCTAAGGTGCACATGGTTCCAAAGACTTACTTAAATGGTGGTCCAGAGACGTCCATAATATTAATAATAAGACGATGAAGATTAGAAGAAGATGAAAGAAAATAAATGAAAAAAAAAAAAAAAAAACAAAAAAGAAGAAGAAGAGAAAAGAAAATAGCCCATTTTGGGTCAAATGAAAACGCTCCATTAATTTCTTATTTTATTCTTAGCAACACATATTTTTAAGACCATTTGAATAATACCAGTGTTGTCTCATCCTTTCTTTATAGATAATGGACTGATAGCCGGGTATATTGGAGGGTTGGTCGTCATGGGACTCATCATTGGAATTCTAATCGGCCTCATTGGAGTTCTGGCATACATGCAACGTCGGGGCACCACTGAGGCCATGATATTCTTCAAACCTAAGGAGGACACTGTTTGTCTGGGCGACCCAGAAGACGCAAACAAGGAACAGAGTGTGTAGACAGAAACAAGACTCATCTTTACTTTTTGTGATACTATATATTTATTGTTGTATAATATGCTCGTGTAATGCATGTATATTTTACTATTCTCTTCCATGTACCAGGTGTTTCGGTCATTTCTTCACGTTTATGTACAGTAATTTGCCTGAAAAACAGTATCTATGGTACACAGAATACAGTTCAGTTGCATATGATCAAAGATTTTATTTTCAAATTCGCATCTTCATACCATTATCTGACTGAAAGCAGTTCAGATCCCTGATGGTTAGTATGTATATATTGAATGTAATAAGGGCCGTTAGTTTTATATTTGTATCCATCTTGACGTCAGTAACGTTAATAGTATGCTTCTGTTCATAATTAGTCTAGTAATGTCTCAAAAAAAAAAAAAAAAGCATTAAGTTTGAAAATCACCGCTTATATATATATATATATATATATATATATATATATATATCATGAATACAACTAAATTGGTATTAATTCTATAAATATGCTTTAGCCACAATTGGGGCAAACAGATGAATCGGAATGCGGAAAACTTAATTGTTATAATGCCCCGTTTATGTTGCATTTCTCTGTGAGCACTACGCTGTGTTTCTATGCCCAACGTTATAATATACCCCTGTAGTTATGCACAGAATAAGCCACAAGAAACTGTTTGGAACAGGCGATGCAGCACCTTTAAAAACGATGAAAAATATATTTATGTATGAATTGTTTTGTCGCTGTTTTTTTTTATTATTTCAAGATGGAGATGCTGTTAAAAGTAATCCAATTATGAAAAGTGAAATGAATAAACTTTTATGTGGACATATCTCAGTTGCTAGTTCTGCTTTCTGTATGGAGACGTGTTTTAGATATTGATTGCTATATTATTGTTAAATGCTTCATTGCTGCATATAATAATTGACAAAAAATTTTCAAATTAAATAAACGTGTGTTATATCTTATTATACCTCCTGATTTCGCCTGAGAGGACTTCTCATGAGTTGTGGCGGGAGTTATCGAAGGTTTTCCACTGGCATGGGAAGTTCCCGGAATATCTGGAAACATAGCGTTACTATTATAAACGTAATCTCTCAATGGTCTTAAGTTGGACATAAGAGATTTTATTCTTAAATAAGGTTTGACCATGTATTAAAGCCATTACAAATATCTACCCCGTAGCTGTGCACAGTAAATGAAGCCATCCGAGCGTGGTATTTTACCCTGACTTGTGATTTGTGTGGTAAAATTTAATTAACAGTAGCCAGACTTACTAGCGGGAGCTTTACATATGAACCCGTTTCTGTCCGTACAACTCGTAGCTCTCCACTGCCCACTTTCTATCAGGAAAACTGCGCAGGCTTGCTCTCCATCTTTGTGTGTTGGTTCCCCAGGCGACCAGTAAGTAAAGCCAACAGTCTTACCATCGTACCAGGTGAAGGTGTCTAAACATGAGGGTTATAATGAAATTTTGATAATCTTCTCTCTCTCTCTCTCTCTCTCTCACACACACACACATCATTCTATTTCACATATGCACGAACGCATGCAGGTACCTGGCTTGTTATAGTCCTAGTTAAACATTAAGTGTTATGGACATTGTACTATATACTGTATATTCAAATACACCACACTCGCTATATATATATATATAATCAAACAAACCATTTTGAAATCTTCGCACAAGACCAATCCACAGATCTTCAGGCCGGCTCTCATATCTCAACAGACCGATTATATAGTCAACTTCATCTTGATTGCTAAATGACGCAAGGTGGCCTCCTCGTTTAAAACATTCAAAGCTGGCCTGTGCCCAAGTTTGGCGGACTTGTGTATCGTAGTAAAAACAAGACGTGTCGTATTCTCTCCATAGTCCACTTTCAGGACACCAACTCGCAAATGACTCTGTTGGAGATGGCAATTCATCTGTAATCAGAATAAAAGTATGGACAATGGTCCCGGTGTTCTGTAGTTTCGTATGCATGTGATGTGCGGATTACAGTTTGTTCTTGTTGTACAACAGTTTATGCTGAGAAACTAAACCAAGCTTTAATTTATCTTACATACGATGAGTGCATGGACATTACACGAAAAGAGTTTACACATGCCTAATAACTGTTCTGTTCTGTGATGGTACTATTGTACATACATAATGATGTCATGCAAACAAACGGCATATGTCGTTGGCAGAAAATACTCTTCCACTTGCCATCTGGCGCCATTACTCCGCATGCCTCTACGACGCCCGCGCTGGGTTCGTTCTTGTCCCAGTTGGTGTATTGGAGGGGCCAGTTATTCACCCACTTGAAACGTTGCTACAGTAAAATATATTGGCAACCCATCAATAGGACACTGACTGATAAACTCTTCGGAATTTGTCCACAGCTGTGTAAATCACTACTCCAAAACGATTTACGTGAACACTGTACTTTAAGATGGTATGGCAATTAAGATATGTGGATGGCAGGGTCGGTGCCAAGAAAACCCTCAAAACGTTTTGCTGCACGGATAAACGTGATTACAGGTAATGGTTTTTATAACGAAAAATAAATATATAAAAAGAGATATACACATAAATCTTACTCGTCCCATGTCTTTCAAACCCAACCACACCGATAGTTTTCCGCTTTGGATTAAAAAAGTCATTAAGCCTGCCTTCTGGACAGCGTCTGGAACATATGCCAAATATGCCCTGTCCGTCGTGCACTCCCTATGTGCCAGTCGCCACGGTCTAGGATCATTGTACAGCTTAAAGCACGTGCGACCGTCCAAGGTGGAGTAGTCTTCAGGGCAAGTAATTACCCGAACTGTGGATTGCGTAGTCCATGGTGTTTTGATGGAGGGATCTGTTCGAAATAATAATAAAATGTAAACCTCTTCATGAATGAGCCAAAGATCGCAGCCAACGTCTTGCTACTCTAGGGTATGGTTTGGTCTGTGTTGTTTTCTGACTCTTAAGCTCAAAATTTGGCACACCGTATTCAGGGAAAGGAACACGTGTTTACAACCGAATCAACACATTTAATTTGATTCTACATTTCAAATATTTATATTTTTCAACAGGTTCGTAAAAGCAGCTTAGGGATAAGTATACTGCACCAGTCCAGGAAAAATCACGATGGAGCCACTGGTTGGATGAGATAAAGTACATATTGTCTATAAATTGTATCAACATCTTGTACTTTCCACGCATTAAAAGATTTGAATATAAAACACTTAAATATAAGAAGCACTGAATCCAACTACACGCCAGATTATACCATACTCCAAAAAATAAATACAAAGGGTCTTCACCTTTCCATGTTTGGCAAATATAGCCGTATCGCTTAGAGCACGTGTCATCTGCCCATTTCCCAGCACTGTCTCTGGATGATTGAACTTGGACACAGTTTTCTCCCTGCGACTATACAAAATCAAAACTCATGAATTTAAAACATGGCATTATAGTAAATCGCCCGCCTCATAATCAAACTGACTATTAGAGATTTGTTAAAATAAAGTCTTCATGATGCAAATTATACATAAATGACCCAACATCAGAGAAAAATCATATTAAGCACATACATTTCTTTTAAAATCATCTTTGACAAGGGTAAATTATCACAGACAAACAAATCGGATAAAAGACTTAGTCCACAAATAAACAAACAAATAAATAAAACATGTCAAAAAGTATATACAAATGCATACAACGAAAAAGTTTGTAGGTTCATTAGTATCCCAATTGGTATATGCCAAGTCTTCATTCGTCAACCATCGGAAAAAATGTTGGCGGTCATAGTCACTTAATCCAATCCAGTAGTTAACATCCGTGTCTTGAACTCTACTCGTAACAAAAGCTGTAATAAAATATAAATTTTAGTTAAATATAAATTATAGAAATAGCTCCAGTTTTTAAAGTCGCATCGTTTCTTATAGATATCAAAGGACCACGATTACCCTATACGTGAAACAAAGGTTTGGATTATATGATGGGGCATGGATTAAATAATGGGAGCTTTCAAAGAACATGTCTGTATAAGCCAATCAAGAAGTCATGTATTCCATGGGCGCAGTAGTGCTTATGTCAGTTTAATGTCACCAGTTTGCTCACCTTGTTCAAAAGAGTTGGTGATGCTGGCCAGGAAGACTGTTTTTCCCATGGCCGCGCACGCGGCCTTGGCGTCGGTGTAATTCTTTCTGTCTGATTCCTTTACTCCAACAAATTTATAACACCGGTTTCCTGCGGTGCGGCAAAATATTATAAGTAACGGGTAAATAGATGGCCAGACAGTATTATCATCCGATTTCATTTCGCCAAAGAGCTTCTAATTAAGTTGTAATACATACAAACAAAAGGAACATAGTCCAACTTCGTTTTTAGTAATTAATTAGATATTTTCCTAAAATACATCACAGCTGAAAGATGTGGAAAATCATCAAATTTTTATTCGCTATTATTGTGAAAAAAACATATATACTTAACCAAATTGCGGACACAATTACAATGAAACGTCACCTACCTACGCCTTCAAACCCAACAGGGCAGTGCCCTGGTATTAAAGAGGTCTGCGGCATGGTCCCGGTAGTACTACTTGACACGTGTCTCTTACATATAAACGGTAGCTTGTCACCGCAGTTGTCATCATTAAATGTACCTTTGTGTATAATAATAACAATAATATAATAATAACAATAAAAGTAATATAATATTTTAAAAAGTTGCACTATACACATGCGAAAATATATAAAATACATAAAACCTTTTAGACAGAGGAAGACAATGAAAGATGTCGAGGGAACATTCTGATATTTTTAAAATTTCGAAAAGGGAGCGGATGAAGACCTAATTATTAAAAGGTTCTAGTTACAAAGCAAAATAATTAAAGCCAACACGTGTAACTGTCCGGCAGAAGCAATGCTACACAAATAGTCATGGTATATGGATTAAATTAAAGTTAAGTTCACACGTGACAAGCAGTGTTTTATGCATACGTTGGTACGTGTATATAGTTGGTTCACTTGGATGCATCAGAACGGTAAGACGTTTTATATAATCATTAAAATACTACCAGCTTGTATATTCTCCTTGCCAGTGTAGATATTGATGCATCTCTGGTCTCCGTTCTTTGAGTTTGGTTCATTTTTAGCCCAGTTGATGTTGTTCACGGGCGTTCCATCAGTCCACCTGGAAATAAATTAAATAATGCTGCACAGTGTGTTACTATGACGTACAGAATCTAAATCTAAATTCAGTTTTAAAATAAGACAGAAACCATGTCGCAAATATGAAAATCTCGGCATCATCGTTATTTTAAAGCACTATGGAGAAAAAATCAACGTTTTACAGGTGGAAGATTTTCGCTTATCATCTTTTTCATAAATCCATATTATATAATTTAGCCATTTTAAAAACCACGGTTTCTGGAAAACCCGCCGTGCAGTCTAGATGTCTTTGGTGAATTTTGTAAGTTCATATGCATGTCATTTGCAAACGGCCAGCAAGTAAAGTAAATCAAAATTCTACGTTAGATTAAATCATTTCTGTTAATTACAAGCAGCTGAGCTGTGTGTCTTACGTGAAACAGCAAACCTACTTGTAGCCGTTCAAGTCTACATTATTAGCTCCTATCCATAATTTAACGTGCTCTGTTCTACCAATTAAGGCGGTGATGAAATCGGCCTCTTCTGGGGTCTGGATGTTAAGCAAATCGCCCGCGTTCTTTAGACACCATTTTCGAGAACTGCGCCACGACTCGCGCCCTGGATCACCCCAGCGATGACTGTAGAAATAACAGTTGTCCCCAAAAGAATGCCAATTATCTCCACAGATGTTGCCGGCTGAAATAAGACATTCGCTCATTTATCACATAGATGTTATCTGTATCGGATAACATGAAACTATGTTTCTTTATAATAAAAGAAGTTTTTGATAATCTTATTTACGGAGACGTATCAAAGAAGCGGTTTTTATTTATAGTTCACAAACTTTTCGTGTGGTTGTTCACTGCCGTCTAAACTACATAAAAGAAACGCGGGACCTATAAATTTTAAGTATTTATCATGTATCCTTATTTTCCGGTTCGTGTCTTGTAATGTTTACATTTTATTCTAAGGAGAACAGAATGGTGTTTTGTTGCTGGCAATATCAGATTGCTCCGATATGTACTTAACATGTATTAATGAGCGCTAATACTTATCCAATTGGTGATTAAACTGCACAAGGAAGGTTTCAAATAGTTTTTATAATAATGTTTTAACAACCGAATTTTTACATATTTTAAATAAAAGGGTTGAATCATAAGTCGAGAAATAAATAAAAACGTAGTATAATTTACCTAAACTTGTCCCTTCAGTTGTCTTTGAGACCGTCGTTGCCCCTAGAGGTACCGTGCAAATCCAACCTCTGGCACTGGCACAGTTCTCATCTCGCCATTTCCCCGTTGTGGCAAACATCCCAACACAGCGCTCCATCCCGTTATGGTTGTCCGGCTGGCCGTCATCCCAGTTCGTGAAGTTGGTCTCCGTGCTGTCAGACCAAATGTGCTCAGCGCCATCTATTTACAGAATTGTTTATCAAACGTGTGTTATTTGTAGATTGTTTATTTTTAGTTATATCAAAGTTACTATTTTTGTACTCAATACAAATAAAACATTAAGCACATACTATAAATACATTATGCAATCCAGCGCACGATGGAAATGGTAAGCAATCTTACCAGCTGTTTTGCTTCACTAGTATTTTAACTAAGGTTAGAGAGATTCACCGTCAACAAGGTGAAACGGACTAACCTGTTGTATTTGTTGGTGCATGTAGACCAATCCAAACCATATCTCTACCGAGTGTGTATCTGAGGTAAAAGGAAAAACCTTTACCACATTTTCTAAATCAAGTACTTTCTGTATGCTTTAACCCCCCCCCCTTCCAAAAGTAAATAAACGAAAAATTAAAAATGGGCCAAAACAATTATCCTTTCGAAGTGAGATATAGAATTCAATTTCACATATTTCTCCAAGGCACATAATCAACTTTATAATAATAATAATATAGAAATTATCAGTGAGACAAAGCAGAACAAATTGTAATACACACCTAAAATATGTCCCAAGGGTGTCCAAGTACCAGTTCAATTCTACACTGCTGTGAAAACTTGCCAGATCTCCTCCTTCAAGCTGGCAGAAACTGCGAGCATCAGCCCAGGTCCTCGTATTTCTACGCGATTTATAAAATCCCTAATCAAAATTATAAAAAAGTCGTACAGATATGAATGAATATATATCTATTTCCCCCAAACTTACAATTAACTCTATTTAACCAGAGCATAAATAAATATTGTTTGAAAAAAAATGTAATATAATCTTACGAAAACCATACATGACAGAAGCACCTGTCGAGGTCGGATGTCAGCTAAACATTGCATTTTTAAACCAACAATTGAGCAGACCAATATTGCTGAAGAACAGTATCGGCCAACATCCTTTTAGCCGCTGGGCCATCGTATTGGGCCGACACTGGCTACGTGTACTGTGCTTATCTACGTTGGTGTGCATTTTGCGGTGTTTTCGAAGGTGGATTTCTTCTACATTTGTCAAATGTCATCTCGAGCAATTGAAATATTAAGGACATGTGAATTACCTTATAACACATGCTATTTCTTTGGTACCAGCCATCTCGACAAGCAGGAGCTAGAGGTGTTGTTGCTAGAACTAAATATACGGAACACATTCACTGTGTATATATGAAGCATGTGGCCATGAAAAAAAGCCATGGTTTTCATAAGATCATTTTAAAAAGCCGTCAAAGCTGTAAAAAACAGGTTTACGTAGAAAACTATAGATATCCTCCTCAAAAATGAAATATTATCTGCAACATTTGGACGTTTTCCTGCAGTTGCAGCTATTCAATTTGAAGGACTTGATTTATTATGTCATTGAATTTGAACCAATTATAAGTTACAAATTTCAGCGTAAATACATTAAATAAAAACTACAGTAAAACGACCCACAATACTACGACTTATTGAAAATGAGGCAAGTTAATGATCTAACATAGTACCTTAACTAAGGGATGAAAACCATACATTGCCAAATAAAAGCCATATATACAGTAAAGTGTAAACACAAACAGAGCAAACATCTACTTTGACCATGCAAGCTCGTGTCCGCTGACCCTTACCTTTGGGTACTTTACAAATATAGCCTATTGCTAGGCCGCACCGCCCCGCCTGCCAATCACCGCGCCCTTTGGCGGCATATACACAGTCCATGTCCTTCTCTGAAGATGGCTGCCCTATTCCCCAGTTCTCGTAATTGATAGGAGTGCCATCGTACCAACGGAGTGACCCTGTTTAAAGACGTGTAATATCTCAAATTGTTTGCCAGAAAAAAATACGTTGGCTGAGTTTGACGCCAAAAGAGGGATTGGAGGAATATAAATGATATGCGAATTATCTTGGGTTACTGATGAGTACTTACGCTCATTTTGACAATTTAATCATGGAACGTAAAAATCACGTCGACTGTAATGAACAGAAAATATATGGCGTTCAAAAGGTTACTTTTTCATTAAATAAAAAAATCATTGATTACGAATAAATTCAAAGTTTAATTTGTCTCCCATATACAGGTGTATAATTAATCAATTGCGCCCCACCATCAAGATTCCTATATAGTCCTATCCACAGATCCACCGTCAGCAGCTGCTCTCTAACGGTCCGCAGTATAAAGTCCATCTCCCCTTGGTCTGTGATGGACGCCAGTGTCGCCCCCTTTTTGTGGCACTGGAAAATGCCACCTGCCCACATTGCATACCCTTTCGACATAAAGTAGCAATAGGAACCATAGGGATGCCAGGTGGCGTCCGGACAAGTGCCAGGGATTTCCACAGTCGGAGTGGGCGGCCGAACTGAAACCATTTGATACAGATTTTGAATATTTTCCTTTCCATGCCTTTTGCCTGTGTTTTATATCCCGCCCCTACAACTTACTCAAAATTGGAAACTACATATTTGTATAGAAGTATATATTTGCTGCGTTCAACTAGCGCTGATTTTACGACTGTTCCCGCTACCAGTTTTGCAAATTACTAGACAAAAAATTAGGTAGTACTGTAATATTACGGGCGCTAAATACCAGTATGTGAAAACCACAACCAGTTAATTTGTAACAAATATTTTCAATGGTCCAGCTAATATGAAAAATCTTCAAAACAAAATGTGTTCATTTAATTGTATTGTTAATTCAGCACGTGGTAACCATCAGATGCACTTTTGAAAAGGAGCACATGGTATTTACCCGTTGTTTTCTTGCAAATCGCTCGAAATTTCCTATAACACACTGTGTCATTCCAACGTCCATTAGTGTCGAGAAGTACGCAGTAATCTCCCGTGTTCCGGGAAGGTTCCCGCGCGTTCCAGTTGACGTAATTCACAAGCCATCCATCGACCCATTCAAATGATGACTGAAATGGAGAAGAACATCAGAATCAAAAATGTTAGATGCTTTTTCATTCATCCGATGTACTGGGTATAATCCTTTAATATTAGCAATACCATATCAACGTAGAGCGTCATTTTGAAAATCTGAATGCACTTAGCCATAATCGTTCAATTTAAGACTCGATTTGAATTTGTACCCAGTTCTCATCGTCGATAAATCTTACCCTATTTCTGTGTAACCCAATCCAAACAGGCTGTGTATCATTCCGATGCATCATCAAAACAAGGAAAGCTTGCTCATGGGGGTCTAATATGGACACCAGGCTGTCTTGCTGTCCCTCACACGTGACATTGGCCTCTTCCCACGTCATGGGTGACGTCAGTTGGTAACAGGCAGATCCAAATGATTCGTAGCCAGTTGGACAAAGTGAGCCTGCTTGTGTGGGCGCTTGTGATGTGGGGAGGTTGGGATCTTAAATGAAACGAAATGTATCACTGCTGGAAGCATTACAAAAAGCACGTTAATTTACTTGTACTTTCTTGAATTTATTTATGATGCTGTATTCACGTTCAACAGTAAGATTAAAACTATAGAGACATCATTCTTCACCCTTCAAATCGGAAAGGGTTTAGAAGATCATTTAAACCAAAAACAAAAAAGTTATAAACCATATTGTACGTTTTTAAATTTAAACTTTAAAGTTCCGCATGTTACATATGTTACTTGGTTACTAATATATCGCAATGATGTCGTATAACGTGTGCTTTATTCTTGGTGCTTCATTGTCATTCCAACTTACCTTTCCATGTCTGGCATATATATCCCATCTTTATATTACACCCATGATCTCGCCATCGCCCAATAGAGTTTCCCTTAGAAGCAACAGCCACACAATCCTCCTGTTGATCAACCAAATACAAAGCACATTTTTCAAAGTCTTTTATATGATTGTTTGATGAGATATCTCTCATTGTTTTCTATAAGTTGAACTACTGATCTCAAAAGGCGTGGAGCGTTAAAACAAAGCATTTTGCGACTATAAAATCAGTTCGGCTTTCCATCAAGCGAAATCGTGAATTTTATGAATGAAAACGAAAATCCCAGCATCGAGTGGGCGATTGCTCTCAATCAGCCACATGTGTGTATGAGGACTTTCAAAGCCACATACATTGTATACAAAATACTCCACAAAAACGAGGAAACCTCTTTCATGCTGTAATCACATTACATAAAAATACAACGGTTAAGACATTTGTGTCTTGTAATGTACAAAAATTTGTCCCTTAACTTACCTTAGGGGTGTATGAAGTTCCACTGGGCTCTCCGAAATCCCAATTGGTATAGTCGATTTTAGAATTGTCTGCCCAGCGAAATCTTCTGTATCTGCGCTTGTAACCAACCCACTGTATGCTTAGGCCTATCCAGTAGTTAATCGTTTTGTCTTTAAGAACAGTTGTCAGAAACGCTGAAAGGTGTGATTTTAAATTTGTTGAATTAAGTTAATGATGAAATCCAGAAAGATCAATCGGATAGAATAACGGTTAATCGAATAGAATAATAATTAACAATTAGCAATGTATTTATAATTATTAACTGTCACTTCCCTGTCTTGCTTTCTGAGAGAGAGAGAGAGAGAGAGAGAGAGAGAGAGAGTACAATTCAGACAAACAAGACTACACTTTCTTTACCACTTTTACGAACCTGTTTCCAAGGAATTGGTAACACTAGCAAGAACAGATCTCTTACTGAATGTAGCACACGCATGAATCGACTCATTCCACGCCTTTAACTTGCTAGAATCGATGTCGTCTCCCACAATCATGTAGCACTTATTACCTACAAAAATATGCATCTCGAACCTTTATTGATTTCAGAAATCTATCAACAAAATAGCTTGGTTCAGCTGACAAACATTTTATATATTTCTCAATATAGATCATTTTATTCTATTCATTAACCAGGAAGGACAGCACAATGTCTTTTCCTTATATGTCTAGTAAAATAATAAAAATGATCATTATATATATATATATATATATATATATATATATATATATATATATATATATATATCAAGGAAGTTTACCAATGCCTTGGAATCCTGTCGGACAGCCCCCAAGTATGACTGGAGTTGGGGTCGGAGCCACTGTGGTTCTCGTGTCCTTGTGCCGTTTACATATATAATTTTTATATTCACCACAATTCTCGTTTCCCCAATTTCCTGTTAACGAATACAAGACAAGTGATCAGAAATATGACTTGTGGGAATTGGAACAGAATAATTCTCCAATAATTTTCGAATGATCCAGATACTTAAATATTCCCAGATCACGTACTGTTAATGCTCCCTGCTTTAATTTTACCCTCGCTTTCACTTGCCCTATAATTTCAGTCCGTAGATTGTTCGCACAATTGAAAATTTTTCACACAATAAGAGTATTACTCAAAATAAATTCACAAACGTATTATCGCTATATTACCAGTTAGCTTGCTAAATGTGGCACATCTCTGACCACCATAAAGGTTGGTTGGCTGGTTCACGTCCCAGGCCAGGAAGTCCAACACACTCCCATCACTCCACCTGGAAAGATCAAGATATTATGATAACTACATTATTAGCCAATTAATATAAATTAACCTGTAAAAGCATCGTTCTGTTAAACAGGTTTAAAGATAAGTAAGATCTTAATAAGTCCAAGGGTTTGTACTACTACTACTCCTCCTACTACTACTAATAATAACAATTTGCGGTACAGAGAACGTTACAAACATGATTCAGTGTGTCTAACTGTGAGTTTTCATCCTTTTTTGTGTTGATCATTTAGTTGTGGAGAGAAGGGATTACCCGCTAGAAATTGCTATTGACGTGCGCACACAAAGCACAATACAGTAACTGTTATACCAGCTAACATGCTTTTGCCAAATCTCAGATGACAATCAATTAGACATAGTTTGTATGTATACAGCATATCAAAATCGTCCGCGAACGGTCCATGAATGTTATACTTACTTGTAACTTTCAAAATCCAGAACATTTAATCCAATCCAGAACTGTCTCGAATCATAAGCCTGTAGAAGCAAACAGTATGTACAATTAACACATAAATCTTATTCATAAAATTCAATGCCATATTCATTACGTGTACAAACGCGTTACAGAAAATCACATCAATCGAGACAAAACAAAACCAGAATTGCTAGCCAGGGTTTTATGCTGCGGGAAGTGTATGTGTGTATATATATGTGTGTGTGTGTGTGTGTGTGTGTGTGTGTGTGTGTTGGGGGGTAAGTTGGGTGGATCTTTATTAAGTGTTATCCCTTTTCTTTCTCCCATATCATCAGAAGTATATCATTTTCATACATTTAGCGTCTAGATGAGTACCAGACGGTACAAACAGCCAGCTTGCATATCATTTTATCTTCAACCGCTTCCCTGGGATTTTTTCAAACTAAAATCCTGCTAGCTTCAGGTAAGTGTTGATTAAGAAAAAAGTTTTAAATGATAATTTCTTACTTGAGAAATCAGGAAATTGTTCTCGTCAACACTGTGTATGCTGATAAGATCACCACCGTTTTGTATGCAGTAGATCTTGGCGTCATGCCAGGGTAACTGGGCGCCCCTGCCATATCTAAGGCTCAGGTAATAGCAATAATCTCCGTGACTTAGCCAGTTGGTGTCGTTTCCGCAGTGAGGAGCTACAAATATTGCCATTAGGCCAGACAAAATCGATTAATAGCTAAATTTTCTTTTAAATTTCTTTGTTTTGGGTGTGAAATTCATAGCTTGGTTCGTGTTTTAGCATAAAATCAGCATTCAAATGTTTCCTGACGGCAGTTTGAAATATTTCCCACTTATCAAACAAGTACCCAGTGATTTTCAATTTGAAAAAAATAGTTATAGATGCACAGATAATTCTGATTTCTACAAAATTATGGTCGGGTGCGCTTGTTAACCGACTCATCAATTTTGTCTGACATTACATGTTTTTTTTATTATAACGTAAATCACCGATAAAGCGACAGCAAGGACGATACATTTTATTATGAATGTTGCAGGCATGTGGGTAAGAATAAAATATACAGCTAAATATCAGACATTTTAAAAAGTCAAAGTATTATGGCTATATGTTAGCCGAATAAGCAATTTTTTCAGAATGACTCATAAATTTCTTAAATGCAGGTTTTAAAAATATCAATCATTATTTTCGCTTTACCACGAAAGATGCTCTTCAACGTCAATGATATGATTTATACATTTTTCAAATGTTTCTTAACATTAGGAGTAATTGAAAATTAAGCATACCTTTTGTTGTAGCCGGCGTAGACAGCGAAGTATACACTGGTTCACCTGAGACAGAAACAACTTTTAGTGAAATATCTTCATTTTGAGTTTGAAATACTATTTGTATTGTTAAATGAATTTAAAATAAGTGACTTTACACGTGCAGTATAATTTGTAAGGCTTCTCATACTTTGATAATTTTGTACACTGCATATCCAATGAATTAAGTTACAATATTTGTATTCATTTGCTTACTTTACTTCCTCACGAAAGTACAATTTTTAGGACATTATGAACAATTGTAACATTTTATTTATAATTAAGAAAATAAACATAATAATAATAATAAAAAATAATAATTGTGAATAAATAAATAATTTTTTGAATTGAGTTAATACGAAAATGGTGAGGTTGGGCAACGAAAACATTATTTAATGTACCTCTCTTAACTTGACAAATACACTGCTTCAAGGTGTAACAGTTGGCATCGTTCCACAGACCCCGCTGTCCTCTGTTCAGTTCAACACAGCTCTCAAGACCGTTATGGTCATTGGGTTCTCCCTCGTCCCAGTTTGTATAGTCTAGAGCAGAACCATCTGTCCAAACATAGCTGCTGTTCTTGGTGGGTTTGTGCAGGCCGATCCAGAAGTTGTCTCTGTAACCACTCCTAAAATATGAGTGAAATATATGAAACCTGAAAACAACGAAATGGCATAGCTTTACAGCATGGGATTGTCTGAAACATCAGCCATCATATCTAAATAGTCTTACTTAAGTTGCACCGATATTAAAGTGAAGTGTGACTTTTTGATTGTTAAGTTGTTAGTAAATTACTTCCATTAGTGTACTTAAACCAATACTAGTGATTTTTTCTTACGCGTATTGTGGCACATCCGCAGCTTCGTTCATCTGGCGTTGGCTATGAAAGCTAGCAAGGTCACCTCCAAGATTCTTACATAATTCCCGGGCTTGGAACCAAGTTTGACGACCAAACACTCTCTAAACAATGCAAGAAACTGTTGTAAAAAATCTAAAATATTTTCTAAGTGAAGATAATACAAATAAGATAAATATAAAATTTGTCATTGTCCAGGCTAATTTCACATCTAATATATTCCGTATACCATTGTCTTCAAATTAAATAATAAAGAAATTTCGTCAGGTCCTTCATTCTGTACACTTTATTTTCATCCAGTTACAGGTCCGGGTGCAAAACATTCTTCAACTAGTTGTGATACTTAATTACTGGATTTTGATATCTTTATGAAATTACTTTAGACTAGATATCGCCATCTCGTAAGTTTTGTAAACGACGCAGCGAATCAGCAGACAAACAAACTAACAAACGAAATGATATCATTCCGAGCAATACTGACATGCTTTTTTAGTTGTTTCTAAAATACAACAGAACTAGACCTTGTAGCAGTAATCGCCATATCCTCTCCAGTAGTGTTCCAAAGGACAGGCGGGAGGTCTTGGAGTTGTGCCGACTTTATTCTGCTGGTACCCCTTTCTGGGATATTCACAAATGTAGCTTTTGGTCTGGGAGCAGGCTCGGTCTGCCCATTTACCTGCTGTCTTACCGGATACTGTTATCGCTACACAGACGTATTCTCCGTTTCCTAATGAAAGGAGGTCCATTTCGTTATGGTCATGACTAAAGATAGTGAGTACGCACGCACGAAAGCACACACGCACGGGAACGGTCATGGACAAATGCACCTTTACACCTACACACGTGAGCATCAAAGAATCATGCGTGTTCACAACATATTACACAGCCAAAAAACCCACACAGAAAAAGGTTCCTGTCAAGCCAATAGAAAAATGGAAAAAAATCTAGTCCGATAATTCACTTCTTTGTAAAAAATTCACGCTACTCAATTAAAATTACACACGCTTCGTATGTCTAGGTATCATAATATTTCAGGTTTTTCGATTTTAACGTTAAATCAAACTGGACGCAGTACATCGTCATGGTTATTATACCTGAGTGTGTTTGGTCCCAGTTGGTGTATGCCACATGTTCCCCTGAGGTCCACGAGTAGCTGTCTCCCTTGTCACCTTTATTGAGTCCTATCCAGTGCTCAGTGTTGACACCTCTGTCACCGAGCTGTGACCCAATATACGCCTGCTCTAGACTACGGAATGACATCATTAAAGCAAAATGTACACTATTAATTAAAATTATAATAACTGGACATACCGGTTAATGGCTACTTGTGCTGATTTACCAAAGTCAGCTAAATGATTATATGACTGGCATGTCTTACAGTTGTCATTTTTATTAATTTTGAATCGGATTGTTAGGTTTTCATATCTATATCATCAGGGGATGAATCACGGGTCTTATGAACGACATTCCACGTCGATTTGTGGGATTCCATTTACGTAATGTCATAAAGCAACAGAAAGATATAGTGAGGCAAACCCGAGGGATCCCATTGGTTATTAACATAACCCTGATTAATATATTAAACTAATTTTAACTATATTAGTTTAATATATTTCATTATATTAAATAATTAAAAGGCTTAGGTACCGATCGTTTATCTCCAACAATGTTCCTCCTGATTTGTTACAGTTCTGCAGAGCATCAGACCATGTTTCTCCTGTACTTGCTATGCCGTAGCATGACGCTTTATAGGTCCACGTCGCGCTCTGCAATATGAAAACAAGATTGCCGAAATAATTAAATATATCATTTATAATTGTATCGTCACAGAATGTCAATCACAAAGACAGGGAATGCATGTGGATATATGTTTGCTTTGAACATTACCTGTTCGGAATTCATTCAAATTATATAATTAAACTGAAATACGTTATTGCTTAATTTTTGCAAATCTACAAGTAAATCAGGAAGTTACACGTGAAGACTCCTGTTAGAAAAATGCGCGGCTTTTGTTAGAGAGGTACAGGCATCAAATGCAAATGATAAATAATGAAAGAAGAGCAAATTATTTTAATTATGTTTTCAAAGACAGCTATTTCAGCAGTGTTAGAAGACTGCTGAAATCACTCTCCAAAGTCTACAACTGACACATGTAGGATCAAAGTGGAAGCGCCATTTGTACATCAAACATGACAATGTCATACCAACCCCTTGACATCCCTCATACGTCACTGTAGGTGGCGACACCATCTTTGGTGCTGGTTTTCTGCAGACAAATGGCAACGGCTGGATGCATTCATTAGCATTCCATCTGCCGGCCTAGAAAAACAAAATGTCACAGAACACCGGAGTAAAGACACCTGTCTCGACGTCAAGGCAAAATGTGCTACAATTATCGATCTGGTCAGGGATTGCATGGAATATTTATGGCAATATATTATCATTTTAATCCATTTTTTCTAAACTATCAGTTAAAACATGGGGTTTTAAAATAAATACTAATGTTTAGAAATTTTTCCAGTTGAGTATTTGAAACGAAACTTCCTGGTAAATTAAAGACAAATTAAAGATGAACCCGCTTCTATAAAACAAAATAAATACCGTTTCTATCCATTGCCGTTAAAGCAAAACAAAAGTCATCCTGCTATTACTACTTACATTTTGTGCAGATGTGTAAAGACCGACGCACACATTTTCTTCTTTCCCAGCGTGGGGTTCGCCTGCACTCCAACTGGTAAATGACACTTCAGTTCCACCAGACCATTCAAACTGGTTGGTGATTCGCAGGCTATTGAATCCTATCCAAAACTCTCTCCATCCTGCAAGAAAATGTCCCCATAGGTTCTCTCTGCCAACAGCATGTTCTTACATGGTGTACCACCATAAATACAATTTTCTGAAGGCTTAGGAATCTGAATCATATACTGACTTATGTCTCATCCATATTTGAAAATGACCTGTGCAATTTTGCACAGGCGACTCAGAAAGTTTTGCATGTAATTGAATACCACCAACGAAAATAATCGACGACATTGACAGCACATTGTGTACATACTGTCGACATATGATACCGCTTTTTTTTTTTTAATTTAAAATAAAAGATAAGTAGAACCCTGAACACACCTTCTTTTTCCCCAGCTAAGCTGGTGACCAAATTGTTCTCATTTGCGTTTGATATGTATGCAAGATCGCCTCCTTCCCGTCTACACGTGTCTCTAGCCCGAGGCCACGCTCGAGTTGCATTAAACACTTTGAAACAGCTTCCAGCGTACAAGGTCCAGTCACCAGTACAATGGGAAACCCCTTGGTAAAAAATATAACGACCTTCTATTCCGAAAATGTATGTTTGAGTGGGCAAAGAACTAACATTCAAATGAATTCAAAGTTAAATTTTACATGATTTGTATTAATAAAAACTAAGAACAAAGTGTAAATGAGCAAAAGTGACTGCTAACTTGTTATCTGTTAACATAAGAGGGACATATTTTCATAAGCCTCTGATGTAACATTTTATAATGCAGAGTTGCTTACAAACTCCTTGTATAACCTTCACAATATAGAAGAGATTGAGGAAATTGTAAACGTAGAACCACTTATGTAAGGCCTTTTTTTTCAAAAAAGGGTAGCTTAAAGAGGGTAATGGCATGCATAGTTTTCGTATTATTATTATTTTGTGACTTATAAACACAAATAACTGAAAAATAGTACATTTTCATCCATAAGTCTTGTCAAAGCACATGCATTAAAAAACAAGTTTAAAGACGGAGAATACAAAATACTACAATACTACAGGAAGTATACAACATACCTTGATCTACAGTAGCTGTTGGTTCTGTATTCGGCGCACCAGTTATCATGGTACTCGCTCCTAAAACAGAAACCCATCACTACGACATGCACAACATGGGCTTTCGTCAAGTTTTGTGAATTAAAAAACCCATTAACAAAAATCAATAACATTCGCTTTTTCCCGAACAAAAAAGAATATAATGATTTAATACCGTGTTGAAAAGAAATGCAGTGTTTTTAATGAGTACACGTTGTGCAGTTTACATTGGGTAGTTCGAGAAAGGTAACGAACTTGAACTCAAAATTGAATTCTAGGAGTATTTTGGGCATTTATTTTACCTTTTCGAACACAATGTTATCAGCAAAATGTAATCAATTAAAGTTATGAAATTTAATATTTTATGAACGGTACCAATTAGACAGCTACATATCATTACAAAAAATCTTTCGCTCACCTTTTTTCTTGCAAATATATCCTTGTCTTCGAGAGCAATTTTCGTCTCTCCATGTGCCTTTTGATGCATCTATCTCCACACAATGGCCATACTTTGTGGCGTATGGCTGACCTTAACAGAGACAAATATGATATGTATATATAGAAGTTTATTAGTTCGATATCATATTTTCATCACCAAAATTATACACGTATATATAAAGATATATACTCTACGTATATATAGTGATATAAATGATTAATCGCATTAGCAGCTACATTTACGTCAAACAGGCTTTGGAAAAAACACATATCCTCTTTGACTTTCAGACTCTCAGACTTTTTATTACACTTTTACACACGGAGGCTACATTGCTAAACCAAGACATTAATTCACATCATACCTGCTTCCCAATTGAAAAATGCAAACGGACTGCCGTCCGTCCATTCCCAGCTATTATCATACATGGCGTCATTGCCTCCTAACCAGTAAAACCTCATGTTGGGGATAGACTGCACCCTGGCTAATACGGATGTATCACCAAAGACGGAAATAAATGGTCCGTAGTATAACATAAAGATACGAGTTCGGTATGTCATTTTAAATTGAATATACTCCTAAATTTTTAATTAGCGAGTATTTGAAGAGAATGTTTTGGATGATAATTTTAATCATAACAATTTAGAAATAATTATCCCGAAAATCTTAACTCTGTTAATCAATGCAGAATTTTCATTTGGGCTCCTAATCAATATAATTATGGTTGATCAGCAGAATTGAGTAGACTGTCGTATACGTTATTTTGGCTAATTAATTTTACATAAAGTGGGGCCATACCTGTAATATACTGTTGTTCATGCAAACTAGCAATGCTCGCAAGGTATCCATTATTAATTTCACATTGCCTCTGTGCCTCAGCCCAGGATAGTGTGTCCACGTTGAATTGATAGCAGAAGTCGCTTAACGGATTGTCCTCCCAAAATAATCCACATTTTGATGTGAAAGGAGCTGCTGCCGTTGTTGTTCCCGACGTGATGGCAGGGCCTAAGGGGCGTGTTTGGTACATTGTATTCATGATGGTTTGACATGTTATTTGTCGTTGCTTATGGAAAGGATAAAGTTGCCACAGAGGAGCGATAGTTTTGATCGTAAATAAATTTAGAAATTGACACTCAGAGAGATTATTATTATTATTATTACACCTTGTTGGGTCCTAAGGCGATAGGCACGTGAAGATAGTAACACTGTTGCAATATCTGTTTTATGATTTTGAATAATAAATCCTTATATATAGCACATTCAACTAGTGGTAACAATAACAATCACAACGCACCTATCATTTTCTCACATATATAATCTTTTGTATGGTCGCATCGAGTATTGGTCCAACGTCCCAGGGCATTGCCTGTCAAGACAGCAGCGCAGTGGAAACCGGTTCCATTACTGGATGGTTTGTTCGGCGCCCAGTTTGTAAAAGTTGCCTGGTTTAGAAGACATAACATGTATATTACATCAAAATGCTACAAGGAAATCGATGCGTGAAAATATGGAACAAATATACAGATTGCGGTGATCCTGCTTTTCTGTGATAATTATCTTCAGTTTAAATACATACAAATCTTCGGTGTATATACATACGTACAAATTAAGCATGTTACATGTTAGTCGGAAATGTTATGATAGAATTGGCCATCGTTTAATTTGTTTAGAAATGATTATGCGGCTATTCAAATCGCACTGGATGTATAAGATTTTCTTTAAATTTAAATTCTCCAAAACATATCAGTAACTTACCCTCTACCAGGGCGAGTGATAGATTTTTTACAGATATTCACAGATATGTCTCTAGCTAGATAGATGGTCATTTAGAGCTCAACTCACCCTGTTGAGGAATCTCAAGGCTGATTACATGGCTGATAATTGTTTGCATAACTGCTCAGGCACTGCCACTTAGCAGGTCCAGTCTAAGTCTGCGTGACAGCAATCAAGACAGTTAATTACTCAATGTTACAAATTGACTTCAATCACTTGCTCTTCTGTGACAGATAAAAGAGCCTTAGACTGGTTGCGTAACGAGCAGTTATCACATCGTTGTGAAGCTCAGCTCATGCAGAGCAAGTACAAAGCCTTTGGCGCGCGTGCAGAGATAATTGTTTCCACATGGGATTCCTCAACAGGGTGTCAGTAACTTACCATCTCCCCGTCAGGCCAGACCCACTGAGTTTCAACGTGCCTGTTGTTTAGACCTAACCAAGAACTGGTGGTTAGTTTTTCTGCAAAAAATACTCTTGTGTCATATTCAGTTATACTAAATTGGGATATTTATATTATTTATTTTAAATACAAAAATTTAACAATTTCAAGGAATAGGAAGCTAGTATCAATGCCTGTATTTTTATTTGACAATATCACTGTTGAAAAACAATATTGAAATTCTTTTTAAAATATGCAACAAATTGACCATAGAATCAATACGATTTAGTAGTTGAATAAAAGTGAACAGATAACAGCAGCTCAGTAATAAAATAGTAACGTGAAGCTATTTGTAAATTGAACTCACGGCTTATGAACGACATTTCCCTAGCATTATCCACCTTCACAAGACTAGCGCCATTATCCCGGCAAGTTTTCTCAGCTTTGAGCCACGTGACAGATTCATCACGGGCAAAATAGTAACAAGAGAACGCATGCGCCTCCCACCCTTGGGCACAAGAACCGTTAGCTAAATAATTAATATTAATATTTAACAAAAAATATGAATGGATATCACTTGTATAGGGTATTTAATTTGGGCATACTGAATATCATAGTTAAACGAAAGTGATATAACAAGGGAAAGAGAACAAGGTGTACGACTCAAAGCTGGAACTTGACTGAGAATGTATTTCCAAATAACAGGGGAATGTGACTGCCTGTAGCCTTAATTTTCTTACAGCACATTTTTGTATAATTAAGCTTATACTAACGACAAATCTTAAAACACAAATATGCTAGTATTTTGAAAACAAAAATATTGTCATTACGCAAGTAGAAATAGTGGACCAACAGAACAAAAGAGACAAGGATTTATGTGAAACATTTCTCTTTCTCAACGAAGTTTGATAGGGGGCCTACTTATTGGAGATCTCGCAAATTAGTCATTCATGTATTTACTATATCACGAATCATAATTGCTCATTACAGTATATCAGCGCACCTGGTTTTACAGTCGGTGGGAAAACAATGGCGTCATCTGGAATCTGGCAGATGAAAATCAGTTCTTGCAAGCAGTGTTTATCTGTTGACCATTTTCCATCCTCTGAATAAGATATTTTCAAGTTCTCAAATGTGCAATAATAAAGGGTTAAAAAATAAATAAAATCATGGGCAATTACCACCAAATATTTCAACGTCTCACAAGAAACTTCCCACATGATTAACTGATATGGGAATTATTGAATTTTACCTGTTCTTTGAAAAACCTTTTGCTTTGACTTCGTGTACATAACGGAGCTTTTTTTAGATAAGTAACGCACTTCAAGGCAACAGTTTGAATTCAAATTGTTCATCATTAATAAAAAAATAATCTAAGAAATAGGACTTACGCCAAATTGGCACTAAAAGTGATTGTTTGTAACGTACGGAAATACGCAACCCGACTTTGAAAGTTAGAACCAGCTTGGGATTTATTAAATATATGTTTAACAACAAGCTGCTACTTGCTTTAGTTTTGTAGATACAACAATTCGCAGGTGTGACAGGAATGATAGTCTTAAGAATGGACGTCTTGGGTCCCATATGTTTAGTACGGATTATGGTTTGTCGAAGTATTAGGTTTAGTATATGGGACGAATGTCGCCTGTACAAAGTAATGGGGGTGGGCTACGGTTCCCAGCGGACTGCCATTCCTGTCACAACGGCTTGTCAGCTTATTACCAGTACCTGATAGCATATGAACGCATCTTGCCGAATTAGTATTGCTCGGTTCTGAAGGCGCCCAGTTGCTAAAATAGTCCGTCATTACCTTCCCATCAGGCCACCGTAATATCTTAGGATTTAGGTCAATATCTGAATTGTTAATGTATCATGGGTTTATAGAATATGAATATTATGATCTTAAACGATCACATTATAAATCAAACATATCAGCTTACTTTGGGTAAAACAATTGAGACAATTAGTTTACTTAACTATTAAAAAACAATACATACTTCCAGAAAATTAGTATATATCAAGGCTTTATCTCCCGTTAGATAAACGCCCTCGTACTCAAAGACCTTGTACTCAATAAATGATATATGTCAACAGAAACAATACGCGTGTGCACGTGTGTGCTGCGTGCGTGTGAGGCACTGGGTGCATTAATGGACACCATGATCACTTACTTACCCGATCCCCCAAGCCACAGCCTGGCACCTGCCCCCAATTCCTGAAGCAATGGTGTAAGAAACTTCTGAACATCCTTGCTGAAATAATAATATGGGGAGTGCATCATGTGTCACGTTTTTTTTTTTGAATGTTTTTCCCGAATATCAGTAAGAGAGCGTAATGAATGGAGCATCATATTATCTAAAGGATATAGAGATAGCAGGCAATAGTTGAGAAATACGCCCGAGATCTTCAACACCAGTGACAGACCCCAAAATTTCTAAGATAGATTAAAAGAAATACAATATGCTTTGCTTTTTAATAATTGGTTTTTATTGAAAACCAGGTGCTTTAACATTGGATTATATTTTTACACTTTGAAACGGCGATTAAAAAAATTTATTTTTTCAGTTGATATGGGTCCAATATTCGAACTCGTGCTGATAACGGTTTGCCGACCTCATGAACGCTTTGTGTTCGACGCTGTCAATGGTGTTTTACCTTTGTACAGATATTAGTTCAGCGCCCTGGGACTTGCAGTAGGTGTCGGCGTCATACCAAGACAACTTAATATTCTCATCAAATTGGTAGCATGTACGATTGTGCTGTAACCAACCAGACGCACAGTGACCTAAAGAGATTTATGAAAACGTAGGGAATAATGAGTGATGCCAATAATAATACACTCTGTAAAAGAAAAAACAGGAAACAATAATGCATTGGAATCAATAACACCATACGTTGCTGAACATTCCTTTCAACTGATGAAGAAATGAGCCGCCATCTAATTGGCCAAATCACATTATCTGGGCGAATTTTCCAAATCTTTATCGGACAAAACAGACAAATGGAATGATTTTTATAACACCGCATATGGATTACGGGTTTTTCTCTCATACTTGTATGAAATTTTACAAATACCTTTTTGTTTTCTGCATATGTACGGTCTTTCTGCCCTGCAGTTCTCAGGCGCCCATGACTTTCGGGATTCTCTAGTCGTCGGATCTATCACCACACAGGTGTAATTGCCTTGCCCACTATAGACACGAATTTATAATTACTATCGTTAAATATACTTATTCTAACTAGCTGCTGTATAAACATTCAATGCAAATGCTGTGATACCCACATTTAACGTTATCTAAACTCTAGCAGTATAACGCTAAACGCTTCCATCACAGCCAATGACTAGCTGTGTCTAGCTGTGTCCAATGGTCTAGCTGTTGGATTTTCACTGTTTATGATAAGTGATCCTCTTAAATACAATGCAAAGTAATGGACTTTTCCGCAAACAATGGTATACGTGAAAGCATATACAAATAACATGTACGTAGCAGTCAGAGTCATTCCTGCTTAACTGGATAAATCAAGTAATCAAAATTCCAAATAGAAATATACGACATGGGTGTACCTGCGTAAACTTGGTGTAGGTGGCGCTCCCTCTACCCAGTACTGAACGTCCGTATGCTTCAGAGCTTCGTTCCTTTTCATCCATAAGGTTTTATGCTGAAATAGTCCATGGATTACGGGTTTTTCTCTCATACTTGTATGGATGACGAGAAACTTTCATGTTAATATTTATGTGTAAAAATACATTGAAAATAAAGATCACGCGTGGTTGGTAAAAATAATAGAAATGACATAAATTATATCTCATACCGACATTAAAGAATATTAGAATATTTTTATTAACATGCATTATTATGACCAGTATTGTTTAGTTCAATAACGCGTTGTACCTCTTTGTTTAAGCCAGCCCAATAACCAATCCAGATGGCCTTATCACTAAAACGTGCAGCATCAAATAGAAACTGTTGCTGTATTTCGCTGTCAACTGTTGCTAAATGGGCCCCGTATTGTCTACAGTTATCGCTGGAATGGGAGGTAAATAATATATATGTTATCTTCACGCTTGCATACACTTTACTATGCAGGACTCGATCGTGTCATCGTTTAAGATTGGTTGTGTGGTATATTATCAGTAAATTGTTGAGGCTAAGTTAAATATACGAACCCGTTTCATTCATGAGATTAAATTTATTTATGGTGATTAATACTTCATCTAAAAAATTAAAGATGGATTAGGCACTGGTTATGCCGTGTGGTTTAAAAACTGTTTTGTCAAGTGTCAGTGACAATTTAACCGCTTGCAAGGAATGAATATCTAACCCAACTGTGATTTTCACCGTTTTGTCTCGGGGACGGCGTTTATGAGCCCGTGCGATAAAAAGGTGAATGAATCTACGCCTAACACAAAAATACGTACTTTGCATATTGCCATTCTTCTTCTGTATGAAAAAGTCGAAAGCAGGAGTCATCGACGTTTTGCCACTGGTCGGGACACCCACCAACCACAGCTGAAGCAGATTAATAAGGGTTAGGCCTTCTCTCATTTGTTACCCATAATATTTAGATATTAAACGTGCCAATGCAAGACCAAATATATCCAGTTTGTGTCTCCCAATCAACCATGGTCATACTTGAAACTATAAAGAACATTTATATATTGCTTTTCTCACGTTTTTACCAAACAATGTATTAGAATTATTCACCGTCTCATGTAGTCCAAAACATTTGTGTGTAAACAAATATGAATCTACATTTATTTAATATTTAATATCGTGTACGTATATAATGTGATGTTTATCATGAGATCTTTTAGCGTACTTTTGTTGTCCAAATTCACTTTTTCCATATTTATATATACATATCAAACGGGTTTATAATGACCTTTGTGCCTCTTGCAGATGTAGGGAAAGGAGCCATGGCAATTGTCAGTTTTCATTTTCGTTTTGATTGACATATTTCGATGCACGTGCAATGCTCCACAGTTTTGATTTTGGTTCCCGCTATTGTCGGGTTCCTGAGTAGCCAAGTCCCTGGTCATCGAAGAACGTAAAGTCATCACTTGATTTGGATGTTCACCATATAAATTTCACATTTCCTTACACAAACTTCTTTGATAGAGAATATGTATTGCAGCACACATTTGAGGTTGCCCGACTTCAAATTTTAAGGAAATACAAGAAATTTGAACTATTTTTATTCGTTTCGTGTGTACGCTAATGGGGCATTAAAACTGTAATGCATATGTAGTTGCGGCATGAATATGCTTGAATACGCCATATTGGACACAAGCATTACTAAACATTACATTGGTTAAAAAAATCACGCAAACTTACAAGAGGTTTGTAACGGCTTTCTCTCCGGTCACCCACTGCCACGATCCATCTCTTTTCACCTTTGTTACTCCTATCCACCACGTTTTGCTTTTAGAGTGTAGGAGGGTCAGTCTGTCCGCTGTCGTGGTGATAAAACCCTGAATGACAACATCATTTGACTAACCCACAGTTTGCTTTCTGGGGGATGAAAATGCTAATGTTAACGCTTCCAAAATAGACTCCCCTGCTTAATTACATATCTTTGTCGCCATGTTCAGATGAATAAAAAGGGCAGGGCGTTTACACTGTGAAAAAGTAGATACTATTGTTATGAAGGGCCGTAAATATGGGGTCCCGATGCACCTATAAAATGACAAAACTAATTACGTGATGGAACAGCTCTCTGAAATTTGAACTTGATCTTGATTGAATCCCTCCCCCCCAAGATTAAGACAGCTACAAGTCGAAAATGTGCACTCCAATTCTTGTGTCGTTAAGCTTCTAATTGTATAGGGATTGGCGTTTCCATCTGCACTGATATTACCACCACCAACTGTCTGAGACACAGGGTGCTTACTGAATCATGACCTAACGATTGTACTTCATTTTACAAAGCAAGATAATACCATAAAATTAATCAATATCAATCCTACCCGTTCCTTCTCATCAGAATACCAAGCTAGGTCGCCAAGTGTTGCCTGGCATGCCTCCCGAGCCTCTTGCCATGTTTTGTCGTTTCTGTCGAGGTTGAAGCTGAAGCAGTAATCACTTATTGGACTTTCCAGCCACCCGTCTGGACATAACTGCCCAAGGACTGAAACGAACGTTTGTATAGGGTATTTAAAAACGTAATGCTTTTTTTCATTCAATAATTCGCAAAAGAAATGTGCGCTTCGTTATATATTTTGACACATTGTTTTCAGTACAATATGACTGGATATTTGATAAAGGCTTAAATTGTTTTGTATTTATCGAGAACATTTTTGTCATCTCTCCAATTTCAAACCAATGGTGTCTTTAACACTAACACCGAAAACAATTATCTATTTCAATCCTGACTGGCACTTAACAACTAAACATTATTGGCGTTCCTTTTGGATTTGAAATCATGTTTGGCAGGCGCTGTTCATTTGAGCTGAAGCAGGTGGTTTTAGCTAAATGAACTTTGGTGATAGTAAATGGCCGGTGTGAAAATTATCAGCATTACATGTACAATATGAGGCGCATTTTTTACTTTCACTCTCACTTTGTACTTACCAGAAGGCAGTTTAAATATCAAACAGGAAAATAAAACTACTGTGCGGAACCCCATCACTGCTGTCTTCAGTGGAGTATGAAACGCCTAGATGATCTGGATCACGTGCATCTTGCAGATAGCGCATAGGTTTTGGCTGCAACTGTACCGATATTAGTCATTGTTTCTGACACACATGACGTGGTGTATTGATAAATATATTAACAAAAGTTGTGGTCAAATGAGACGAACTGCAGCAAGACAGTATCTCGTCTTATCGAATATTCGGATAACCCCTCCACCTTGGAGGGCAATAGCTTCGATACTAATCGATTTACAAAAGAGCTTCGATAACCCCTGACGATAAATGTGTGAAAATCATAGTTTGTTCATGATTGGATTGTTTCAGCTTCATGACTCATTTATAAACTACACCCAGCTGCGAATCAATATATGACAGATAAATGATATATTCTGCCTCATCAATCTTATTACACAGGCTTGTTGAAGTCTATCATGATGAGTATAGCATCAGTGCGTCAAGGTACCCTACCCAGGTTGTATTATCTCTCTTCTTTAACAATAGCGTCAACGTACAGCTGGCATACAGTAGAATATAAAATAAAATTCGTTAGGTATATTTTACAGCAACTTTATTTCATCCTCCAAACTGTAAAAGTTTTAATAAACACACTTCACGTGTGTACATGCAATGAACATTATGTACCAATGACACTTACAGAATTGGCCTACGTAACAGGAACACGAGAATAAAACCGAAGATCACAGTTCACAGGAAAAAAGTGGACTTCAAACCACAGTAATAATAAAAATACAATATCACCCTTCAAGGGCAATTGCTATGCAGTGACTTTGGAGTAATGGTAGGCAAAGGGCATTTAATGGGTAAGGGAAAACAAATATGGCTGGTCACAGGTCGAGGATAACAGGTGACCTTTCTCCTAAATATGGTTTTTACCCGTCCAGCAAATGTTCTTGCTACTTCCTATATACTGATCAGATCTAGGTGTCATATTGGCCACTTGAAATTATTCCAAATTATGAGAAAATATTATCACGCGATGTAACAGAAAAAGTAGAACGCCCGTTGGTTAAGGCTAACAAGTACCAGGTTTAACATGCTTTTTATTTCCAAATTGGTCCCCAGGCTGGCGATGAGTATCCATTTTACAAACGTTCATTTTCGTCATTGAATGGTATTTCAAAAAGCTCAGTATCTTTGTTATCTGCATATGAAAATGCCACAGTGTCTCCAGTTTCTTTGTTGAAGGACGCCAAAGCAATGGATACTTGACGCCGTCTAAATACAGTGAACCCTATGATGGCGAGTAGGTAAGCAATGACCAGACATAGAACTATTACTGCAACAGTCCCTCCATTCACAGGTAGTCCTGTGGTGCAATATTGAAAAAAATCATTTGAAACGTGCAGATATACATTTGCTTTTGCATTTGACAGTGTAAACTAAGTCTGAGTAGGTTTGATGCTTCGTTATAACGAATACCAAAATGAGATGAAGTGACACGCCCAAATGCAGTTAAATTATTACTGTAAAACAGGTAAAGCATAAGAAGCACAGCACAAAAAAACACACAATGCTCAGCATTTTGACCTAAAGTATTACTACGTGTCAGTGCTAGTTCAGATAACGAGAAGGCTGTAGAATTCAAATAGGGTTGAAAAAATAATAATTTTACCCATTTGTGCCTCTGTCTGCTTGTTGGTCTCTGGTGATACCGTGGGATTTCCTGATTCCGTTTGCAATGGTGATGTTTCGTTGATCGATACGGATGCTGTTGGCCTAACTGTGAATCGTATATGGAAACAGCATCAGTTAATATTTTTTTCTTTTTGACTGCGTTTGATACAGCTGTATCACAGGGGAGATGACCGATGATTTAAATCTTTCATAAAGGTAAATGAACCGATGATAGTGAAAACGAAAAATTGTGAACTTACGAATGATCGTATCAGACGATTTAAGTTTGCTGTTGAAAAAATGATAATATTTTTTTGTATCTCTTCGATTTAACCGTGGCGTTTCTCAAACTTGAAGAAAGGAGCAAGATTATAGAAATTGAAATTAATTAGCATGTTTCAGTTCTTACTCTTTGGAGTTTTGCATATAAATCCTAAACCACGGTTACAAACGATGTCATCCCATTCACCGGTCGTGACCTTGAACTCCACGCAGTCCTCGCTTCTTCCTTGGTCACGTGGTTGTCCAGGTGACCAGTTCGTGAAATCAACAGGTGTCCCATCAAACCAAACAAACTCATCTGGAAGGATAATTTTTTAATAACGTTGGTTTTTTATGAAAGTGTGGACGAGGTGCGAATAAAAAGTTCAGATTTTGTAGAAAAAAATTTTTTTTTCAAAAAATGAATGTTCAATATCTTGTTCAGTATGATAATTCTATGACAAAGTGTATGCTAATAATTTACTTGTATAATAATTCCAACTGAAAAATAAATATAATTATTATCTAGTTTTTCATAAGAGATGAATGCCTAGGTACTACATGTACAATGTACATGACAACATATAATAATAATAATAATTGATAAGTTCACTGTTATAATTACTTTTATTTCATTTTATCACGTAGACAAGTAAAATAGTAATTTTTGCAATAATCAAAACACACCTTGAAATCTTCGAATAAGACCAATCCACAAGTTTCTATAAGTGCTCTCACTTTTCGTTAAACCAAGAATAAAATCCACCTCATCTTGATTTGCGAAAGATGCAAGTTGTCCTCCACGCTTGTAGCATTCAAATTTAGCGCCCGCCCAAGTCTCATACGCATGCGCATCGTAAAAGAAACAGGAAGCGCCGTACTCGATCCATCCGTTTCCTTCAGGGCACCACCCAGGTAATGGCACCGTGGTGGTTGGGGGTTTGGCTAGAAATAAAGAGAAAAATGGGTTATCAAGTTTCAAATGTAATAAGGCGATACAGTCAAAAATGAAGTAAATGTACGTGTGAATGTGATGAGGAGAAAGTGTCTCCTTGGTTGAAACAAACGCAACAGGGAAACACAACAGTATCCAGTTCTCAACCTAAATTTATAAATATCCACGTTAATCGTATTCTATCCGATAGTCACTTCAATTTGCAAGAACATTACTTACCCTCCGTTGACATACAGACAAAAGGATATCTATTATTGCAGTCTGAAGACCTCCATTTGGCACTGGGGGTTATCACACCACACTGGCCTGCTGCGCTTGGTTGACCTTGATCCCAGTTCGTATAGGTCAGAGGCCATTCGTTCACCCAACTAAAGTTTTGCTAAATTTCACAGGTGGGACAAATTGTTTATATAGGACACTTGCGATTATTTGTCAAAATAATACCATTCACATTATAAGAAAAATGATAGGGGGCCTATATACACATGTATGCTACATGGTAATAGTGAGTTTTTTACGGGTTGGTGCACATAATGCTGAAATAGTCGCCAGGACGATGAATGAAAATAATGAAGTTTGGTTGGGTATTATTTTAGTGGGAAACATGGAATATGCGCATCAATTCAAAATAATTTACCTGACCCATATCCTTTAAACCAATCCAAGCAGGTCGACCAGACGCCTCTGCCATTATTAACTGAATATTGGCCTCCGTGCGGAGATCTGGTACAAATGCCAACAAAGTCCCATCGGCCGTGCATTGGTCCCGTGCTTGTTCCCAGCTAACAGCCGCTATGTATAGTTTATAGCATGCCTGACCATTGTAAGACGTGTAACCAGACTTACAGGCACCCGAGGTTGAAACCGCTGGTGTCCAAGGAGTACTGATACGGGAATCTAAACAAAAACGTTATTTTAACTGGCCGAATTAACACGTGGCTTCATATAGGAGGTACACAGAGTTCTGCCCAATTGCAAGCAATGATAATACTTATATTTAGTTTCCTAATTTGTCTTGATTGGGGATCGCTATACACCAAATGAAAGAATTAAGTATAAAACTTAAATATTAATCCAAATGCCTTTACATGTATCATTTTATCTCCAATGAAAACGCGATATGTCATATATTATCTTAAAACATCCTCCTCGAGCAGAAAATTCATCCAACGCATACTTACTTTCATATTAAAATTGAAATATATATATATATATTTATATATAATTATCAAAAGTTAAACAAAAAGGACTACCTTTCCAGGTTTGGCATATGTAGCCATTAACCTGAGAACACTCTAAGTCCACCCATCTTCCCAGACTTCTCTTAGTATTTCTGACTTTAACGCATTCTCTATCGTTTGACTTAAAAGGAAAAAAGCAAAACGAGCAAAGAACACAATTAAGATTCAACGTCTTCCCATTTTGTACGAAGAGTTACAAGGTAGGGCAGAAGCAGACATGTTACTGTTTCATTAGGTAAAATTTACATACATGTGTAAAAGGACTTTAAAATCAGATTCTTTTGACAAAACCAGTATCACAATGTACTTTTCACACATTATTCACAAACTCTTGCATTTCATGCAACTTCATCTTTCTCACTAGCTTTCAAGTAGGGTATGTGCATTGCATACCTATTTATAATGCACTGGGCACTGACAACATACTGACAATGTGTAAGCAGCAAGCACTGACTATCAAATACAACAAGCAAACAAAAAACCTGCACTTTTATACTACTCCAGAAACACCTAATCCGTTTATCCACCAATACTGACAGCCTGAACATGAACTTATACGAGGAAATATCGCTTTCATAAACAACTTGGACATTTTTAATATGACATACTTACTTGTCCTAAAGTGGGACTCCGAACGTCCCAGTTCACAAAGCTCACTTCCTCGTTGGTCAGCCAACGGAAAACATGGCGACGGGCATAAATATAGTCAAAAGTAGAGCTCAAGCCTATCCAGAGGTCTACATCGGTGTCCTGCAAATGACTGGTTACGTACCCTGTGATTTGAAATGTTGAACTTACAAAAAAAAAAAAAAAAAAAAAAAAAAATATATATATATATATATATATATATATATATATATATATATATATATATATATATATATATATATTGCTAATGCAATGTTAAACTTGTTCTGTTATTCTACTGAAAATCGTCCACTCTAATTCAAAGAGAGTGTATAGAATTTTTTAAGAGAAGCATTTGATCACACTGAGAACACATCCATAAAACATAAGAATAACATAATGCAACTAGTGACACCTTTAACCCTTGTCTACCATCCCCCCCCCCCCCC